CTTTATTACAAAAGAAAACTGTGTTGTTACAATTTGTCATTCTATGAACTGGGAAATGGTAACGGGACTTGTTATCCTTGGGATGAGACACAGGGGAAACGAGGCTCGTGCGAAGTAGGAACTTGTGTGAACTTGTATGTTACTTCTGATGCAAGTAAGACATCTGTTATTGAAGAAGTGACATTATATAGTGATACATGTGGGGGACAGAATCGAAATCAGTTTGTTGCAAGTTGCTTAGTTCACTGTGTCCAGTATATTCCTCACAACAAGTGTATTAACCACAATTTTACTCATTCAGAAATGGAATGTGATTCCATACATGCATCTATCGAGCATGCAAAAAGCCTCACAAAAGTACATGTTCCATTTCAGTTGAAAACAGTTATATCATTAGCACGCCGGAAGCAACCATATATTGTCGTTCTAATAAAATACACTGACATACTAGATTACAAGTTGTACAAAGAACAAAACTTTGGCTAAATGAAAATTTATGTTGATGGAGAACGTGTTAATTGGCTGAATATAAAATGGATTCAAGTTCGTAAAGACAAAAAAATGACAGAATACAGTATTTTTGTGAACTATGGTTATGATGTTAGTGAGTTCAAGGAAGTTAGGTTAATGCAGAATAAGAGCAGAAGCAAATAAAAGTCTCTTAAGGCTCCACGAAAGGCTTATACAGAGAAACTTTCAATATATGCTGCAAAAAAGCTGAATTGATGTCACTTGTTGCCTCGGGGACAATTCCGAAGGAGTACGAATCATTTTACGAGTCATTGCCATGCAGCAAATCTATAAAAGACAAACTGTTAGTGAGAGTGAAGAAGATGAGTGAACTTCATGGAATAAGTAATGACAAACATTCGCATTTTGTGACATGAAACAGTAGTCTTTATTTACTTAACTATGATATGGGTCACTAATATCCTTAATTACTGATGTCTGGGGTCTGTTTGTCTTCAGTTCGATCATATACCAGAGAACATTAAAAATAAATGAAAATTTGTAAACTTAGATTTTAGTGCGTATTTTCCTAACTTTTTAGTTATCAATTTATTTCTGTAGAATCTAAATATTGAGCAGGTACATATTTCATATTTCTATTAATGAAAATTGTCAATTTTGTGTACGAGTATTATTGTGCATGTGTGTTAATTACATTACGTAAGGTTCTTCAAAGTAAGGACATAATTAATAAATTTGCAACAGTAACAATTCCTGCAACATCTAAATTTTTTCAGAGGAACAAGGCTATAACTGCACTTATAACCTTTTACCACAATTTATCTCGAACTTTTATTGCTAAACATTCAGAAGTAAAAGGCCGTAAGTGCAGTTATTACCTTTTACCGCTCAAACTTGTTGTCTTGACAGGATCCAAGTACATTTATTACCTTTTACTTCTGTAAAATGATATTATTTTAATCTTAGAACTTTAAAACAAAACATAATTACAGTGTTTTATCAGCACCAAGTAAGGTAAACTAAACAAAATATGATCTAATGTAATGTAGTCAACAAAAATGGGAGAATTAAAATTGTTATAAAAATATTACGGAAAATAAAGTTGTATTAAAATATATGTTTTTTGCGTTTTTCTCGAAATCTAGAAAATGGCAGTTATTACCTTTTACCTTTGAACCCTCGATATCATGCTCAAATTTGATATTTCAAAATATTGATAATTTTGCTATACAGTCTCTATGTCATTATAAAATAAACATGTTTTAAGAACGCAGCGAGTAGATATACATGTCACATTTAAAATTCAACACATTATAGGTAAACACAGTATGAATACATAGTGTAATAAAAAATGGCAGTTTTTTTTTGTTGTTGTTTTTTTTAAAGAAATGACCACTTTAATTTGTAATAGGGAATGCAGCTTCCCGTGTATAGTTTGTGAATTATCTAATTCTAATTTAATATATTCATAAGAATTTCCAAGATTTCAATAAAATTCTACGATGAAAATACCTATCTCAAAGATGAGCATAGTATATCTTTAAGAACAATGCCTTTATTCGGCAAAGGCTCTAAAAACAAGTTCCGGAAGAGCTTGAGCGCGATATGCAATAGCTAAAGTAGCATTTTCATTTCTATATATACAATGTACATGTATTAACATACACTTACAAATTTGGTATTTTATGCTCAGTTCAACACCTTAAATTTGCAGCGTATTGCATGAAAGGTTGAAGTCTCTCCTTTACAGCAGTATAAAGTACTAAGCGCTCTAGTATCAAGTTCTGGAGCGATACTCATACGATTAGATTTAGCTTATTTGGTTTTCTTTTCTACATGCTTTTGTATTTGCATGCTCATTTCAACAACTGTGCGCCAGATACTCAATGCATTGATATCGGTAAAGACGGGCTCGTATATAACAAATCTTTGGAGTCTCCTTTTAACGACAATAATGCGCAGGTGATGGGCCTCTAAGAACAATGTCAGATGAATTCTGTATGTGATAGGCCTATGTCCGCACACATATTATATTTTTCCACTTCTCTCTACTGGCGGGTTTCGTTTAATGAGGCCTAAGAGTCTCCCTTTTTAAGGCACTTGACAGAAACTTAGGTAACAAGCTCAACAAACATGCAAAGATACTAAATGACACTAAAGGGAGGCTCTTTTGAAAGCTTTGAGCCTCCCTTTTACGACAATTAGCTAGCACTCGGTACGCACTTGTAGCTTCTTTGAAGAATCGCACGCGATAGCTAGGTCATAGAGCTGTCGTGCTGTTTTCTCTTCTTAACATTTTTATATACACTCAGTTTAACACGAATAAAAGATTTATAACAAAAGTCTTTAAATTTGTTTCCAATACATGTAAAATGGTTTTGCATCAAATATTCATTATTGGCGTCCGCGCCGAAGCGCGACGCCCCTTATGGAATGAGACTTTCAAGATTTTATTCAAAACCAAGGCATATAATATGCATAAGGTTATGATATATCAACAATATTCAAAAGTGATTAACAAAACATATATACATAAAATTATATAATAATGAGATCAATGTGACTAACACATATCATTTGACTAAACTTTACTCTTTGGACATGATTTGTCTTATACAGAAGTTATCTAAATAATTCTATGTTAATACATTCATAAAAGTGAGAAAATCATGACTTACAGGAGAATTAGTTATTTAAATTTTGAAATAATAATTTTGCAGATTAAAATAATGCAAGTTTTGATAAAGTTGAATGGTCAGTGCTATATTCATTAAAGATTCTAATTTATAAATATTAGGATGATTTGAGAATTTTGAATCAATAAACTTTTTACGAAGAGAATTGAAAAAGTGACATTCAAATAAGTAATGAAATTCATCCCCAAAGGATTGTTTTGGACATAAATGGCATATTCTTTGATGAAATCAGATTTTGTGAAAGGGCAATTGCAACTTCTCGGGCCTGTTCGTCATCATTCCGATTGGTACGAGGGTATTTGATTATCAAAAATGAAATGTCGCGGTATGTACAATGAATAGCGAACTGGAGAATTTCGCAATGCAAACATATTCAAATGAAATTATCTTATCCGTCAATTAATCTTCGGGTTTTTTATTAGTACACAGTGGGTTATTATGTATTGCTGTACCTATAAATAGAATGATGACTTTAACATCGTGAAAGTCCGAAAATCTATTTATAGAAGTAGTTTTAGTTTAACGAAACGGTCATTCGTGTCACGCTATGGTAATTAATAACGAACTGGAGAATTTTGCAGGAAATGAAATACTAACATATATCATGTCTTTCGTCCGGCCATTCATAAATATTATATACAATTCTGGTAAAAACCAATTTACAATTGAAAAGTTCATAAGAACATCTGGTCATCAGATGTTTACTAGTTCATCTTCACTTGCTGCATTTCTTACTTGGACGCCTTTTGATGCTTTGCATCGATGCTTTTCTTGTAACATGCTATGAAATATGAACTACATTTATGAAAGTTCTTAAGATGATATGGCGGTTTACTTCACAATTAGAATAAATAATCTCAACTGTCATAATAACATATTAAAAAGCGGAAAAGTAGTCTTAAAGCTGCATTTGTTAAATTTCATAAAAAACATAAATAGCGACATTTCAATAATAAATTTTTTTCATACAAATTTAATCTTTTTTATGAGATGATTAACCATTTTGATCACGACATACAGGATCTGAAACTGAAACTGTAGAATGCTTGGTTTTTAGGCCGACGAAAAAATATTTTTTTACATATTTAATTAACGCAGTCAAAATAAAGTTTTGATGTCAAGGCTCTTAAAATACTATGTTCACATGCATGTTAATATGTCAAGTTGCCTTTCCAATTTCATCCCATGCTCTTACCGCTCTGAATATCTTAAATGGATTTGTCCATCAAAATTATTCATCATTCTTCTAAATATAACAGAATAGCGGTCATTGCAGATCATGATCTGCATGTCGTGATCAAAGTGGTTAACCACACTTAGTGAAATTATATATATGTACATAATTATGCAAATAATATCGAAGAATATGTAAAATATGTACTGCAAATATTTGCGCATATTACATGTAATCGTTTAAATATATGCATTCATTTCTTATTGTAAAATTTTACTTAAAAATCTTTATAGAAATAATTTTTATTACCTCCCTTTATTTACATGAAATGTTAAATTCGGTAATATCTTTATGGAACCTACAATATTGATAAATCTTAATTTGAGCAACATATATAGTTTAATGATTTAAAACCATAAAAATGTTTTTCAGCTAGGATCTTTAATATATAAATACATAATAAATTATTTATACGATATACATGCAAGATTTTACTTATGATATGTGTTGTCATACTAAAAAACACACAATATTTAGGCCCCAATATTTAGAACTCCACTTTATCCTTGTTTATCAGTACACAAAGTTTAATATTTAACGGACGGGCCTCAAGAATTATATCGGAAGGGTAACCCGACTAATGACGTGTTATTTCCTGCTGCCTATTTTAATCGATAACCTTCAAATTGACCAATCAGAATCAAGAGTCAAAGGTTAACTATCTCTCTCTTTCACGTTGGTGTTTTGATCGTGTCCGGTTGTGAGAAAATTAACTGTAAAAATGGGAAAAATCAAGGGTAAGTTGAATTATTGTTGAGTTTCATATGTGTGGAATAGATGTATTAAACTTTTCCCTGTATAATGGCGGTGTTTTATCTGTTTCAGGTGGCCCAGTTGTGGAAATGCAGGGAGATGAAATGACTAGGTAGGTCGACAAATAATTTGGTATTGTTATCAATTTGTTGTTCACACCTTGAAATAATCCGCTTACTGAAGTCTTAAGTCATTTTACTCCATCTATATATAATCAACCTTAATAGCATTTAATAACACGTTTCAATACATTGAAATACCTCTCAAACTAGCTCCTTTTTATGGGTGATCTAATTAATGACCCCAAAAATAAAACAGCTGATCAAGCAGTTATTCTTATATAAATTGATAGATCCCTGTTGCACTATCTTGTAAAGTTGTATGGAGACAGACACAGGATTCTACTATAATATTGCAAAATATTTAAAAGGACTCCACTGAGGTTTTCTGGACTGGATGGTCCAGTATTTGGGTCATGGTCTTTCAAATTTTTATAGAAGATATGAAAGGCCAAGTGCTGCTTAGAACTTTGGTTTAACCCAGATGTTAAAATTGGGAATTAAAGCACAGATGTTTGGCTTATATACCGGGTTTGTCACAATAAATAATATACAACTGTTATCAATATCAAGCACCCATTTATTTACAGTAATTTTCCTACTTATATAACAGACTTCAAAAAATGGCCTCTTCCTAATTGAATTTTTTTTTTTAATCATGCAGTTTTCCCAAAAATCTTAACTTAAACCAGCTTTTTTTACTTCCCAAATCAGCAATTTTAGCGAAAGGTTTTCCCAAAATCAAGTGGCTAAGGCCTCTTGCCTCTTCCCTATTAAGTGATATGTAAATATCGATATGATAATTATATAATTATGTTATATCTTGGTAGATGTTCAGTCTACCCAGATTATGATATGTAAACAGGTGCTAAATAGTACCAAGTAGCTTTGACCTTGATATCAAAGGAAACATGTATTCTAAGATGTCTATTATTATTTACTAAACAATAATCCAATTGCATAGCCAAAAAAGTGTCCAGGGTTAGTGAATCTGCTTCTTTTTTTTTTTTAATTTTCTCTATCCTTATTAAAAAGGGCACTTGTTTGGTTGTTTTTGGCACAGAATATGGATACCAGTCCCCTCTCAAAGTCATATGTATTTTTCCCCTATCTCAGAAAAAAAATCCCCTCCAAATTCTAAAATAAATCAACTTAAGGTAATTTTCTTATTTGTAAGTCTACATTAAAAAATATACCAGCTATTGATTTCAATGGTAGGAAAATTACTAACTATTGCAACCAATGGTAGGAAATAGTGTAATGAGTAAATATGATAAAAAATACACTAAATACATAATAACATAAAATTCTGAATTTTGCCTTAAAAAGACGCAAAATTCCCCTTCCTAAATGTATGGGTACCTGTCCCCAAAAGGTGTCTAGTGCCCTGTTTAAGTTTAGTCAGATATTTTGCAGTCCCCCTTTTACCTAATCTCTGTCCATGCACTGCCAGGTCAATATAGGGACTGTATATAACTAGCACTGCATGTGTATATAGTGAAGATTTAACAATCTGGCTATGTCTGTATGACTGTGCCTTTAATTGCAACAGAACTTCATGATCATCACTGATTCCCAGTGGTTGGGGGTCACTGGTAAAATTTTCTTGAACATGAATATGTATCTTTTTGTTTGTGTTTATGAGATAATTATATTTGATATAAAGTAGATCTTATGGTTAAATTTATAAATTTATCTTTTTCTTACAGAATTATTTGGGATCTGATCAAGCAGAAGTTAATATTTCCATTTGTTGACCTTGAGCTGCATACATATGACCTTGGTATAGAAAACAGAGATGCAACAGATGATCAAGGTACCTTTTATTTCTTTTACATGTTGGGTTTACAGTCACAATGACTAAGTATAGGTTATTTTCTATATATCTCTAACTTGATTTGAGCTTCACACCAACAGATGCTGAAGGGTGTCCTCATGCTTTAAATTTCTGAATATTTACAGAGATGCTGACAAGCCCTGTGTCGCAATATCTGTCTATATATCCATGCAGTCTGTTCAGTTCTCATACTGAAAACCCTGAATTAAACAATAGGTATTTTCCAAATTTTAGCAGGGCAAGTCCATTTGAAAATCAAATGGGATACAGGTTGAAAATGTTCAGTTGCTTTAGATAATTGTCGATTTATAGCAGCTTAATATGTCATGAATGAATTCCATTGAATGGATCAGATTAGTTTGTGTTTTAATGTGTCATCTGGTGACTTTCCAGAGGTATAATTGTGCCCCATCATGCATAAATTATAGCACTTGAGTAGAACCACCAATATTCCCTAACACAACAAAATTTTCATGAACTCTTTCATGTATTTCAGTAACCATTTTGTGTATTTCAGTAACTGTTGATGCAGCCAATGCTGTAAGGAAGTACAATGTTGGTATTAAATGTGCAACTATCACTCCAGATGAGAAGAGAGTTGAAGGTTTGTTTAGTTATATGTTGTTTTGATTCTGATGACATACCATACCAGATATTTGTTTGTTATATTGTAAGCTCGGATCATATTTCACTGAGTAACCATCAGTGGCAGTATTTTCATAAACAATAAATATAAAATGTAACAACTGGTATTACCACATATCTCTTTGATCTTGAGTTTTGAACAAGCATATTTTCTATTCATTTTAAGTGTTTATGATTGTTCTATTTTTTTTTTCATTTTTGATTTCCGCAACATAACTTCATGCTATCACCTTAATAAAATCATAACACAATCACATCATAAATGATTTTGTTAAAAATAGAACTTAAATTTTTCTTTTGATTTGTATAAGATCTAACACACAATGTGTTAATGTTTATATGCTTGCAGTAATACTAACAAAAGTATCTGTACCTGCTGAAATTATCAATCATTTTTCATTAAGGATTATGTGTTTTCAAGATTATTGATATTCTTTCTTAATTTTTTTCAGATATGTACTAAAAAGATTTAAATAAATTAATAGATTGTAAATGAAAATCTTCATGGTGATAATGTTCAGCATAAGTAATGTTTAGAAATCTAGAGGTTTAGTAATGTCACAAAAATTACCCCAAGTTGTTTTCAATTTTCATAAAGAAGTTATATCTTAAAAGATATATCAGGTAGCAATTCTGTTTTGATATTGTAGGCTTTACTTTATTCATTGACCATCATCGTCTGAACCCACGGTACACATATCGTATATACTACATTTAATACATGTATACGTTAAATAGCCTTGGTTACCGAGGATGTTGACCATTTGTTGATCAAAATATTGCCAGTAGTATAAAGTGAATCATATGTTTATGCTAGTATTGTATATTGAAGTATCTTAATATTTACTAAAAAATGATTGTGTCAATTTTGTAGAGTTTAAGTTGAAGAAGATGTGGAAATCTCCCAACGGCACGATCAGAAACATCTTACGAGGGACAGTTTTCCGTGAGGCCATCATTTGTAAAAACATCCCTCGTCTGGTTCCCGGCTGGAATAAAAGTATTGTCATTGGCCGCCACGCTTATGGAGACCAAGTATGCACACTTTTTTTGAACATGATTATTTCAATAAACTAGTTTTCAGTGGCATTGGGAATAAATAGCTGATTATCAACTTTTAGTCCTTGTAATCTTTCTTCAAATTCATAGCTTTTGAAAAGATTTAAATCCTTGGAATGCTGGTGGTAATAACTATTGTCTGGTGCCACCTGTAGAGAAAGGCAGGTCTATACAGTTTGACCATCATGGATTGCACAGTCGTCCGTATAATTTTATTATATTTAGATTGAAAGCCCTTAAGATATTATGGGCTGTTGCAAATTAAAAGCAGGGCATGTTTGATGAAGTAATATCATCTAGATAAACTTTAACTTTAATGACAGCATATTAGGGTTATGAAATAAATATGATTTTTTCTGGAAATAAAAGGCAAACCTTTGTTTAAAAATGCAATATATTGAATGACTATACACCTTTACAAATGGCTACAAATGAAAAGATGGTTAAGCTTAGAATAATGGGCAATCTTAGGGTATCATAAAACTTAAAACTAATTAATTTTATAATTATTTTGTTGCATTTTTTTGTGTTTTATATAATAAATAATTATGCATGTTGATATATGTGACAATATTGTATGTGTTTATGTATATTTCCCTAAATAAATCAATAGGAGATTATGGCTGATGAGAACTGGATCGGACATTGTAAGAGAACACCAAATATAAAACAGTTTTGAGATTTTATTTTAGCCTGAATATAAAGCACAGTACAATGCCAATGACCATGAATAAGGCACCTGAATCTTTGCAATTGATGCTAAATCTAAATTCTTAAGTCAGACTAACGCTTTCAGGGGAGTGATGGCTTAGTGTACCTGCCTCTCAACCCAGGGCTCATAGGTTCAAGCATTACATGTGTCACAACTCATGTTTCCTCACATGACACAAGTCCTGGTTAGATCCAGGAAGCCGACTCGAGAGTGATTAATATAGTACATGATATAAGTCACAAGAACTTGCTTTGCAATCAAGCTTAAATAAATATGTTTAGACTAAACTAAACTGATGCTCGGCTATTACAGCACTATAGCAGATAGGAGTCTTTGACAAAAATTGGTTTATAAAAATTAAATTGGCTCAAGAAATACATAATATGGCACTGGCTAGAGATATTGTTGCTCTGCATTGACCACAGATATTGTTTCATTGAGTGTAGAAAAATAGTACTCTGTATTGAGTAGCAAGGACAATTGCCTCAATGATAAAAATTGTTACAGTCCTTATTAAATTTTAAATCAACCATATGACATCATTTTTCAGTACAAGGCAACAGATTTTGTGGTTCCTGGCTCTGGTAAACTGGAGATCAAGTTTACACCGGAAGATGGTGGATCTCCGATGGAATATACTGTGTTCCAGTTTGAGGGAACTGGTGGAGTTGCTCTTGCTATGTATAATACTGATGAGGTACACTTATACTTTGTTTCTTGTTCATTTCTAAAGTCCTGTCAAATTTCCTTCTTTAGCTTTGTGTTTTAACTCCGCTTAGGTCAAATTTTGACTTACTGAGACTCCTATTTAGTCGAAAAGAAAATTTTGTCCCGTCAATTAAAGTCCAACGTATATTCATCTCAATTAGTCGAAATGTGGAAACAGCCGACATACATCAAGGTGAGATGTTGTCACTCGTGATTTACACGTTTCATAGTAATTTTAATTGCCGGTCATCATGTATTATTAACACGTCGTAAAAGTGGCTTTAATCGGTTTCAGGACCTAATTGGTTTTAACAGTTAGATAACTAAATTAAAATTTTATTACATTTCTTTAAGAAAGTTGACTCGCGCCAGTCTGACAGGTATTAGTCAAATAACAGCCTAGGTATTGATGTGTGTTATCAACATAAATGATATTTGTATAATTAATGTTCCATCATATTGCATACATTAATTTGTACTTCTGGTTCACAATAGTTGCTACTTTCGTTTTCGTCTGATCAATTCACTTCAAATATTAGATGAATTGTTGTTGAAATAAATGTGTTATTGTGCTGTCATTGTAATGAATTGTCATGAGTGCTTTACTGATGAATACTGACAAACTTGCATTTATGTCATTGCTATGAATGTGTACAACGGTAAAATGTTTCACTTTTAATGTACATGTATTAAATTTTGATTAAAATACTTTTGTTCATTTATAGTTGTAAGTGATTTACCGTCATTTCAACGGTAAAATATTGCAGCATTTCCGCTATCAACAATAACAAACTTACTTCTTTGCACATTCAATCAGGCACATGTATATACATGTACGAATGTCAACGTAATGGCAGCAGTTCCACGTTACTCAAATTCCGTTTCTCCCGGAACTAAAATGCCCAGTCCCTAGGATTTCAAGTTACCAAGTCAAATGTATTTAAAATTACATGAGCATACTAAAAACTGTAATGCTGAAACATACCATTACAAAATATTTATGTTTGTTCTTTTTTAAATTTCAGAGTATTAAAGAATTTGCTCACAGCTCTTTCCAATATGCTTTACAGAAGGAATGGCCTCTGTATCTAAGGTAAGTGATAAAAGTCTTTTACCATATCATCTCTAACAGGGATAGTAGTAGGACTATGCCATCATTACAGAATCAACATAATGTTTAAATCCATGGAAGTAGTGAAGAATTGAACTGATATGAAAATGCCTTGTAAATAACTTAATTTTTAGCAGCCATTTTATATCATTTTATGCCCTTTTTCTGATTTAACAAAAACTGTAGTGGCACATTGCAATATGACACTAAGTGTTTGCATCAAAATTTAGTGTCTTATTTTATTCCTGCTGTTTTCATATATTGTTCTATCACAAATGTATTTCTCAATGCACATGTAATATTTCAGTACCAAAAATACCATTTTGAAGAAGTATGATGGTAGATTTAAGGATATCTTCCAAGAAATCTATGACAAAGAGTACAAAGATAAATACGAAGCCAAGAAAATCTGGTACGAGCATCGTCTAATTGATGATATGGTGGCCTACGCCATGAAGTCCGACGGTGGCTTTGTGTGGGCATGCAAGAACTATGATGGTGATGTACAATCAGATTCTGTTGCTCAAGGTCAGTTCTAGTGTTTGTGATTTTTTTATTGATATATTGTATATATAAAGTGAAAAAGAAGAACATACATTTTTACTTGGAGTTATTTTTTTCATCACATCTCGGTGTAATATTTATGTATCACATAAAGACGATACAGTACACTCAAAACAAACAAATGAATAACCTCTGTGTATAAAGTTTTAAAGTGTAGGTTTGTCTGGCTGTACATTGGTGGCATTAAACTTGTAGAGGCAAATCATAACTGCAGATATGGTATAAATATAAAGCATATATCGGGTAGGTCTTGTTACAATATTCTTTAATATGTCTTGACTTTGTTACAGGTTTTGGATCTCTAGGTATGATGACCAGCGTGCTCATTTGTCCCGATGGTAAGACAATAGAGTCTGAGGCGGCTCACGGAACTGTGACTCGTCATTACAGATTCCATCAGCAGGGTAAAGAAACATCAACCAATCCAATAGGTGGGTATGAATGCTTTAGCATTAAAATGTAATAATAGATAGACAGATTTATTATTATGGTATAATTTTATAAATGTTATATATGTTCTTAATTTTTGTATGTAAAATATATTCTCTGTATAAGATGTTAAATTGTAGTGTTGAGCAAAAACAAACATTTCAAAGGGAGATAAAAAATTGTTCACAATGATTCTAAGCGTTACATGCAAATTTTGTGAAAATTATTGCATCATGTTTGAATATTTGAAATGTAATTGCATATTTTCAGATAGTTGTCACATATTTGTATGAATATATTTGAAATATAATTGCATGTTTTCAGAGAATTTTGGCATTTTTGTTTGAATATTTGAAATATAATTGCATATTTTGAGAGAGTTGTCACATATTTGTATGAATATTTGAAATATAATTGCATATTTTCTTGTTTGTGTATCTGAAATATTGACTAGTTCTTAATATAGATTGTTAATAACTTTAGCCTCCATCTTTGCTTGGACACGTGGGTTACTGCATAGAGCTAAACTGGATAAAAATGATGCTCTCACAACGTTTGCTAATAACCTTGAGGCGGTGTGTGTAGAAACCATTGAGGCAGGCTTCATGACCAAAGATTTAGCAATCTGTATTAAGGGAATGGCAAGGTAAGTTTTTAAAGTGTTTGTATTATGATGCTGGTGATACTAGTGTAGTTGTCAGCAAATGCTTAACGTGAAATTTATCATGTATAATTGTACATCAAATTTTTGTTAAAATTGTTCAGTACTAATTTAAATTTTGTGTGTAAACATCACAATTATGTCTTAAAGAATTGTAAAAATTCAGTTGAGTGGCAGCAAGGCAGAGTGGGTAACACATCAGACTAGTAATCTAAGGATTACTTTCCGTACCCTGTCAGGGGAGAGCCATTGTTTCCTTGAAGCAAGAAACATTACACTCATTGCTCAGTATTGGTTGGTTCGAGAGAGTGTCTATAAGCTATCAACTTCTTATTTAATGTGTATAAACCAAAAATTCAGTTTAATTACATTAAAAGAAGTTAAATGTAGCACTATAAGTTGAAAATTCTTTATAATGACATCCTTTCTATTGAGAATGCTTATTTTTTATGTCCTGTAAAAAGTTGAATGTTTTATTGGGTTCGAATATCCACAAAAGTTATAGAAAATAATAATGCAAATGATAATTTTAATATATCTAAACATGAAAAAGGTAGAACTTTGAAGTGAAATGTAAAGGTTTTAGAACTGGAATATTTATGAAATGTAAGAAAATTATGAATACATTGTTTCACCACATGCAAGTGAAGAAGTGCATAGTGTATTTGGTAAATCAATAAAGAACTGAGCATTCTAAGTATAAAACCCTTAATTGTAGGATCTTGATAAATGTATATTTTTTGTGGTTTATAATTTATACAAACTATGTCTTCTGCATTTCAGTGTGTCCCGCCCTGACTACCTGAACACCTTTGAGTTCCTGGACAAACTAGCGGAAAATCTTGGAAAGAAAATGGGATCAAGTTGACTAGATAACAATGCTAGGCTATAAAATAACTGGGACCAAGTCCATTCAAAATAAAGGAGGAAACCAATATTATGCTTGTACTTTTTATTATCTGGGGAAAAATAGATAAATGAATTAATTTAATATCTAAATTATTGTTAATTTGATTTTAATATGATGCTTTGATATGGATATTGTTTTCTTATAATCAGATTTAATGTTGCAAAATTGAATGTCAGTTAAATTTTACCATGCTAACTATATTAAATGGACTTGTCCATCTTTCAATCTTGACAAAACCATTCGTAATTTTTAGGAACAAATTTGAGATTTGTACTGATTGATCAGCGAACATTGCAAGACAAAAATTTGCCGGCTGATCTTGGTCTGCACTGGTCACATGGATAAAGTCAGTTGTTGTTAGCAGGCTAAAGGTTAATATATTGTATATGTTACATGTAATAGATCATTTTTCTTCTTTAAAATTTCAAATAATTGATCAGGAAGTAAAAGTAATTTGCATTCATTGTTATCATGTGCTAGTCTACCAAAGCTCAGGATCATTTAAATGACTATAAATAACTTACCAAACATTTGAAGCACCATGATTTCATTTTGATCTTGTCTCACAGAAGCTTATTGGATTCTTACAGTATATGGAAAGTGGGCAGAGTTCATCCATATTATATATATTTTACAAATCATGTTTTACATAATATTATTTTTGATCTCGGTGTATCGTCTACAAAAATTCATAATTTTTACTTTAATAGCTCAATGATTAGGTTAACATGTAACAGTAAGTTTAAAAAACTTGACATTGAAAAGGTTATGTGAAATTGCTTTGAATTGTTTGATATATGACAGACTTTTTACAAGTTGTTAAGTACATTTTGAAGAATGGTTTTACTTCTATGATTGAAATAATATTTGTCCTCGTTTCATTTTCGGATTTGCTTAAAAAAGGAAAATATTGTGATCAGCCACAGTCCTATCTTTTCTTTGTTAAGGAAATTTTGTTTTTCATTTATCTTTTTATTTCTAAATCTTATGATGATTAGAGACAAAAATGTTTTTGTGATTAAAATGTGATAATTTATTGATTCTTTACGCAAATTTGTATTCTTAAAATTTAGTATTTTAGACTTTCTCTTTTCTTATAGATAGTATATATTATACATTATATAATTCTGGTCAATTGTTACGAAATATGTTAATGTTATATGTTAAGTTAAAAATTTGACGAGAATCAAAATTTTGTAAAATTTGTAAATTTTGATACAGAATGAAATAAGGTTATAAGGATTTAAATCTCAATAAAAGTCCATCAGCATTTCAAGTATTAAATGACATTGAAGAAAAAGAAATACCCGGTAACGCCAGTTTTACTATTGACACATGTTTCATGGGCATTATAGAATTCATAGCTTACACAAGGTCATGGTAAATCTTTAAAAAAAATGCTTGTTTCTAAAATAAAATACAAAGGGGTACAAACACATGCGGTGTTCTGCCAGTGTTACTGCTTGATAATTGTCACCATTAACGTTGCTATGGTGACATAAATCTCTTTATAACATAGTTACAGAACTTTGAAAAGGAACACACTCTTGGTTAGATTTTTTTTAAATTATCGGGATAACTTGTTTCCATCTCTTGTTATCAAATTTTTAAGGTTAAGTTTTGTAGCTACTTGTGTTTATATTTACATAATAGACCATGTTAGTTTTAAGTTAAAAGAGTCCCTTAGTGATGTATAAAAGTCTTTCACAATCATCTTATAATTCCAGTTATGTGTTGTTGATTTTTTTTTCCAAGCGCTTTATCCAATTAGCATTTTGTTTGTTTCCTATATACATGTATGTATAAATGGGAAGTTGTGGTAGAAAGTTAAGATACCTCGTTAGAAATAATGGCATTTACTTAAATTATCAAAGATTTTTCAGTAATTCAATTACATGTTGAACAAATAGAGGATATTGAATGAGTGTAAGTTCAATACTGAATTTATTGCACGAGTTGAATAAAATTATATTATGTGAGCCTCTGGCGAGCATAATATTATTTTATTCAACAAGTGCAATAAATTCAGTAATGAACTTACACGAATTTAATATTCTGTTTATCACATACCCAAAATAAAGACCGTTTAAAGTGAAATAAGAGTCATTTTTCATTGACGCGCCTATAGTATAACGCTAACATTTAGTGCGTCTTAACACTATGTTTGTATAACGCTAATGACGTCACGTCAAAATATATGCACGGCCGTGCAATACCATATTTACGGAGTCGCAAAATCGGCACGGGTGTGTGATAAATGACATTTACTTAAATTTTTTTGTTTTAAATAATGATGATGGCATTTACTAAAATATGTAAAAATTTAAACTTGCTTTGTGATGTAACAGAAATGGCACTGTATGATTTTTAGCTGTCAGAAGTACAGACTATTTTAAGAATGGATGCTTTTGCGATCAATTAATTGAATAACATTTGACTTTTAATAAACATTTTATCTGGAATGGTTTCTGTACAAATTTGTCTGTGTGTAAATTAAATTGATTTTACTTACCTGTAGTGTTAATTAGGAACGTTACGGTTTTACATGATTATACAGTATTGAATCTGTGATTATTTTGTCAAAACAATTATGTTTACATATTACTCTGGCAATTTACAGTAAATATATTGTTAATTTTTATAAAAATAATTTAAATGTTTGTAAGAGAATGTGTAATGCTTTTAATGTATGTCTTTTAATTTGTCTGTTTTAGATATAGTGATTGGTGCTAGACAGTTGTATCTATCTTATATGATATTTAGTAGATACAATTGTGTGGCATCAAACCATTATTTTGATTTAGTTTTTAAATATTTTGCCATATTTTCCATGATTTGTTTTAAACCATAGGGAATTATACATAATATTGAAGTTAAAATTGAAAAATGAATTTTTTTTGTCATGTTTTACATGTGTATTCTTCATTATGATACAATAAGGTAAATTTTAATAGGGTTTACACCATTTGGTGGTTTTTTTTAGCTAATGAATGTAGATTTAAGAACTTTACCAGAAATCTGTGCGCAGGTTCAGTATGTATAAAAATTGGTTTTATATAGTTTACATAATAAAAAGTATGGGCTGTCAAAAAAGTTTGTCTTCTTTCTTTAATATATTTGTGGTCTTTATGGCAATACTGTTATGGCTGCAAATTTAAAATCACTTTTCACATCATTGTTAAGTGTTGATATTGCAAAAGGAACTTTTAGTTATTCCATCGTGAGAAGGTATCCAGCTTGATTTTGGAAGCCCTGTGGCTCTATGGAAGTACTAGAGTGTTCATGATACATGTACGAGTATAATGTATGTTAGCTTTAACTCTAGTGGTAAAGCTGGAAAGTCATTCTATAAACTAGTGTCTGAGACACTGATTTTTTTAAAAACAAACAAAAAATGCTTTATGTTTGGAAAATATTTTAAAGAGAATGTAGTAATTTCAGAGTATTCATTTAATGATAATACATATATTTTCCTAACAGCTGTACATGGAAAATCACTTTAGAAAAATAGGCTACAGTCTAGTGTCAAGTCTACGTGTAGATATGTAGATTTTAAACCTCAGTGCGATGCTCTCAGACTACACAAATTGTCTGAATAAAATCTTTTTCATGCCTTTAAATGGATTATATCTAGCTGAGTTAAGTCCCCTTCTTGGAAATTTTTAGTGATTTGATGCCAATTGGATATAAGCTGTGTTTATTGAAGAACTTTTATCATTCACTATATATATTTTACTGCTGCACTTAAGTGTTTTCCTGGATAACTGACCAGTAATTTCAAATTTCTTTTCAAGTAACAGTCTACTTAACCTACATGATTTCTTCTAAATCACCTGTGAGAGACAAATGACCATAGTCTTTGATAAATTCCACTGAGAAACACCTTGCCCAAGGTGCAAACCAGTGACCGTCTGATGCTTTCCCTATTAAGCGAAGTTGGCAAGTCCTCACTTCTTAAAAAAGTTTTTCCTTTACATATCACACTTCTTTGCAGTTAGTTTGCTGATGACTATATTGATGGAAAATTATGTATCTTCTACAACGCAGTTTTGTGGTTGGGTTTTACGTTGCACAAATACAGTATAGGTCATATCCATGGCGGCTTTCAGCTTTACTGGAGGAAGACCTAAGGTGCCCTGTGCATTATTTCAGGCATGAACACGCACCTGCGTAGAATCACCGACGTATCCTAAGCTAGATGGACAGCTTCCTCACGTTTGAATCCAAGTTCCTGTGGGGATTCAAACCCACACTGATTTGAAGTCAACAACCTTTATACCTCAGACACAGATCATGCCCCTTAAATTTCAATCTTATTATGTTCAATTCAATTGTATTGTTGCCCTATCACCTCCAGTATTGGTGAATTAAGCACAATTTTTATGATCTGTCTTTCCGTTTGGCCACACTCTGTTGGGCCAATGTAGTAGTTATGTTTTGAGGGTGGATATATATTATTTCCAGCTTCTTTCCCAAAAGATTAAGGGAGCCATAGTAAGAATGAAGTGGTGTATAATATTTATGATAACATTGCCATGGGATTAAATCATAGCAGGTATATATATATTAACATAATGGTTAATATACGTACCTGATCATAGATATATAAAAACTGAACACACCTGATAATGTTTCATTTTAATGTTTTTAGAATTTTTATCTGCACAAGAATGTATTATATATAGATATCAGATAACAACAGTAACACTTCTAGAAAAAAAAGGAACAACATGATTTTTTCACACCCACAACATCTTGTGTAAGATTTGAAATTGCATGCATAGATAAATCAACAAACTAACATTCATTATTCTAGAATATTCAAAAGTTTTTACTTCAGGTATACATAATAAAAACTAAACACATTGTCGTTAATTTGTAAACTTTATATATAACAAAAGCCTTATATATAAAAAACAAGAAGGCCATGATGGCCCTGAAGACGCTCACCTGTATATTGGCCCCCGTATTGGGGCCAGTTTAAACCCCAGGGCTTTTATTTGAACAAACTTGGTAGACACCCATTAGAAGATGTTTCATGCTAAACATCTAAGGTCTAGCTGGTCAAGTTTTTTCTTTACACATATAGTTAAAAACAATGACACACCTGGGGCAGGGCCGGTTTGGACCCAAGGGCTTTTATTTGAACAATCTTTGTAGACACTTACTAGAAGATGCTTAATATCTAAACCTTAGCTATTTGGGTTTTTTCAAAGAAGATTTTTAAGTTTTTGCTATACACATATAAGGAAAATCAATGTCCCCTGGGGCGGGGCCAATTTTGACCCCAGGGCTTTTATTTGAACAAACTTTGTAGACACTCACTAGAAGATGCTTCGTGCTTAATATCTAAACTCTAGCTATTTGAGTTTTTTCAAAGAAGATATTTTAAGTTTTTGTTATACACATATAAGGAAAATCAATGACCCCCGGGGCGGGGCCAATTTTGACCCCAGGGCTTTTATTTGAACAAACTTGGTAGACATCCATTAGAACATGTTTCATGCTAAATATCTTAGCTCTAGCTCTTTGGGTTCTTTAAAAGAAGATTTTTAAGTATTTACTATATGCATATAGGGAAAATCAATGACCCCCTGGGTGGGGCCAATTTTGACCCCAGGGCTTTTATTTGAACAAACTTGGTAGACACCCATTAGAAGATTTTTCATGCTAAATTTCTTAGCTCTAGCTCTTTGGGTTCTTTAAAAGAAGATTTTTTAAGTTTTTACTATATGCATATAGGGAAAATCAATGACCCCCTGGGGCGGGGCCAATTTTGACCCCAGGGCTTTTATTTGAACAAACTTGGTAGACACTCACTAGAAGATGTTTCATGCCAAATATCTAAGCTCTAGCTCTTTGGGTTTTTTAGAAGAAGATATTTAAAGTTTTAAAGAACCAGAGTTCTGCATGGGAACAATTTTCAAAGGTCAGACCACCAAAGGAACATACCTGTGAAGTTTGGATGAAATTGGCTTAGTGGTTTATGAGGAGATGTCATTTAAAGTAAAAGTTTACAGACGACAGACGGATGCCGAACGAAAAGCGATCACAAAAGCTCAGACTGTCACTTTGTGACAGGTGAGCTAAAAAGGCTGGGAGAGCTTCGAGGTACAAGACAGTGCTTTAATATCTCAGTAAATATTACTAAGCTTTAAAGAACAAGTCTTCTGATAAATTCTTAAAGGGACTCCACTGAGGTTTTTTGACATCAAATAATTTTCCAGATAAATGTACCATTTGATGTAGGTTTAGACCACAAATCTTTGTGCAAAATATCAGATCATTCGCACACTTCGTTTTTCCAGAATAATTATAGTCAAATTATAAAAAATAACCCAAAATGAAAAGCGTTTAAACACTTTCACTCAAATCAGATTAAGAAAAGCATAGAAATACGATTTTCAATTTATTTCAAAGTATATTTCTTAACTATCTTTGCATATATTTCTGTTTAAAAGGCCCCAGCTCATTTATTTAAGAAATTCAAATGATATGTTTTTAGGCTTTTAAACCTCAGTGGAGTCCCTTTAATTTACACAGGGATAAGATAGCACTTTCATAACTTGGTAAAACCAAAGAAATAATATTTGCGATAATACCCTTGATAAGTATGTAGGATACTTGTTTGTTTCGGTGTAAAATTCAAAAATGTTTTTACGAGCAAACACCAGATGTAACATTTTCGAGTGTTGTAGCCACTTTGACAATTTAACTGGCGTTGTTCATGTCAGTGAACAGAATTGATGTGACATATGGTGGAAATTAATTTTTCATTCATTTAATATTTGTAATCAATTTTTGTAAACTACAAATTGTAACATCACAATACGCATTTCAGAGTTGCGTAACATATAAACATTAAAATGTGCAAGTATTTATTTGCTTGCAGTTACCACCAAACTTTTACTCATAATTGAACTTTTTCAACTGAAATCTCCATTCATCTTTGATATATTTACACATTTTTTTTCCGCATTCATAGACAGTTTATTGCATTCAGCTAGATATACATGTAACTTAATTTTGATAATTGGTGCGATTACATTTTAATTTCACTATTAAAATATCAAATGAAAAATATCAAAATATAATCCACTGTTTCAAATGTCACTTTGTAGTTTACCAAAAACAGGCATACAATAAACATTTATACTTTTACACACACAAAGCCTGGCTTAAAACTCATCCTTCTTGCATTTCATTTTAATGACTACAATCTTCAATAGTTGTTCATTAAATTAAATATAATACATTTATTCATACAAATGCATAACATAATATCCCTGTAAACAAACAAACCCCATGAAGAAAAATCACCAAAAAAGGTTCAGAAATAACAACATTAACTTTTTTATCTGTACATTAAGTCGCTGAATATCCAGGATCAAAAATGGGATATAAAACAAGGAGAGCTATTTTACCATCCCATCTTATAACCTATGACTGATATCAAATTTATCATATTTCAGTAAAAAGTTTATTTAAAGCTGCACGCCTCAATATGAGCCGCGTCACAACAAAACCAACATAGTGGGTTTGCAACCAGCATCCGCGCAGTCTGATCAGGATCCATGCTGTTCGCAATCAGTTTCTCTACTTGTTATAGGGTTTGTAAGCGAACAGCATGGATCCTGAATAGACTGCGCGGATGAGCAGACTGGTCTGGATTCATGCTGGTCGCAAACGCACTATGTTGGTTTTGTCGTGACGCGGCTCATATTATAAAAATGCACTAAACTTTTAAGAATGGTAAAAACATTCAAGATCCAAGTTATATTTTACAAGTTATGTGCGGTTTAAGACTGATTTGGCAGTATTTTATCACCATAATTCTACAGCATAACTAACAAAATAAGGGCTGTTTTTCCATATGTTGACGACTTTTTGGTAATTTTCTTGAATTCTAAGTGCTGATTGCAATATGTAACTTACTTAATTTGTTCATCTCACAATATTTTACTTTTAAATACATTTCCAAAATTGTCATGAAAATTAACATGAATCTGGAGGCATGCTGCTTTAAACATTGTCATAATGAACTCAATACTGTATCAGAACTATCATTTTAAAGTGGCACACCTGAGATGTCGAGCAAAATTTCAAATTAACCGTTGCCACTCTAGATATCTTAATTGGACTTGTCTGTCTTTCAATCTGGACAAAACCATTCGTTATTATTAGGGAGAATTTCAAAATGTGCTCGGACTTGAGTAGCAAACATGGCAGACCATGCTCATCCATGCTGGCTGATGTCTGTCTGCAGTGGTTGCAGGGGTAGAATCAATTGCTCACACCAAATCACAGGGTTCAGGAAAAAAATATATTAATAGTTTAAGACATTTTAATTAAGACAGAAATCTTCTGGGTAAAACTTAAAATATGACAAATTTTACTATTTTCATAACAAAAATCTACCCTGTAAGTAATGGAGTAAAAGAAATTTTACAAATCTGAAGGCATGCCATAACAATAAATACTGAGGAAATTTAATGTTTGACAAAACAAAGAGATTAATTAAGTTGACATGCAAAGGAAGTGTACAATCACAAATTGTCGCACATTAAATTTGCATAAAGTCTTGTATATCTTTGACATTTTTTCTGTTTCTTTTTGTTTTGATAGTAAAAACCTTCACACTTATGTAATAAAATGTTATAGTGCAGTTTATTACCAATAAGTTTATAATTCTTGTTTGTTTGTTTCATTTTACGCCTTTTCCCCAACAGTATTTCAGTCATATAGTTGGGTAGTTTCTTAACCATCACTCCTAGAGAGTTACACCAGTACTTGACTACCTTCCTCCGTGCTAAACTACCAAAGCATCTCCTGGGGATCGAACCCACGCCAGAGAGGTAACTGGATTAGAAGTCATCGACTCTAACCCCTCGACCACGAAGGCGGTCCTATGATTTTTCTCCAAATTAATTTGCTGGAATAACATTAAAAGTCAATGTGTGTCAAATTTTTAGGGATTGCAATTCATTACGGTAAATCAGATCAACTAATTGAATTTATCAAAAACAGGTTTTTTTTTTTTTCAAAAGTATATACATATATCTTCATCTTTTGGTTAATCAGAAGAAAGCAAAAAAACATTCAAATTATGTTACACCAAAAAATCATGCATATTTACTTTATTTTCATAATCATATCTATTATTTAGGAGCTGTGGCCTTAGTGTCCGACTCATTCTTGGTAAACAATTGCCTACATGACCAAGCCTACATGGCTTTAAACCCTGCATGATCATAATCAAGGGTTTAAGTTAACATGGGCCACAATCAAGGGTTACAATCTACATGGGCCACAATCAGGATTTAAGCCTATAAGTATATGGATCATGATCAAATGTTTAAGTTTACATGGGTCACAATACCTATTAAAAGTTTGAAGTTCCTAGGTTTAAGCTTTCCTTAGTAATTGATTGGAAACCATTTGGTCTACGGACTGACTGATGGACCGGCAGACAGACTGACAGAGGTAAATGCAAAGCAATATACAACTGTACCTGCACTTCTTTGAAGGTGGACATAATAACAATGTTTGCCAAATTCAATACAGGACAGATCCATTATGAAAATTAAGATATGCAAGGAATAAAATTACAATTAAATAGTTCAATTATTTCTATTATTAAATCTGTCTGTCAGGAAAAACAAACAAAAAAAGTCCCTAAGAAAAGGTAATAATGCACAATAAATTGTCTATATTGGAAATCTAATCAATGGCCTTTAGTTAAAAGTAAAAAATAACAAGTTGATTATTAATATGATCAATATTTAAAGCTGTTCATTCAAACAGTCCTATAGAGTTTAAATTCAGTACACTAGACATAGCAAGTGTTGTTGTTGTTTTTTATTCCGATAGTCCAATTATCCCAGTTTACATTACAGCTGTCTCATAAATACAAGTAAAATTATATCTGACACAAGTCAGGTCTGTTGTTAAGTGCAATTTATTATATTTCCTCAAATGATTTTGCATTTAACAAGTGAAAATTACACTAGTGTTTATAATCAGTTCTATTATTTAACTATTGCATATTTGATAAGTTTTTGTTGTTGTGTCTACCTGTAATAGATTAATGCATGCCCAGAGATACCCCAATGTGGAGTTTACTCTCAATTACAAACAGATTTCAAAAACTATGTAATTTTAAACTTCCAATTCTTTAAACAAACTCCATTATTTCCCTGGGCCAGTAAATTAAAACTATCGTGAAACATAAATCAAATAAACCATATTTATTCGATTATAAGACATTTTTTCTCCATTCAATCATATGGATAAATTCATACAGCTAGTCTTATAAAGGTGTCAAGAATATTCACTAATAAATGAAAATTCTGATATTCATGACAGCAGTCTGTGCTCAGAAAAAATATAACATTGAGGCATGGATTTGAGGTTATAAAACTGTTGTTTTTTAAGTTTGTCTTGAATTTCAGATTTTCCATTTGGTAAATGTATATTCTATGCCCGTTACTGACCAATCCAGAATGTAAGTTCAAAGTTTGAGCGATGAAAATTTCTTAAAAATCTCAGACCCAGGTGTCTTAGTTATGACCCCAGTAGGGCTTGATCTCTGGGTTGAGCCTTAACCACTAGGCCACTGCTTTCCCAGTCTTATAAATGATCCATCAGTAAGGTGAGTAACAATAAAATATAAATACTTTCAACAACTGTATATAGAACAAAAAACCCTCACTATCAAATGACTAAAATAAAATAAACAAAAACAATACAATCATAACAAAATAAAATTGAACAGCACAATTTCATTTAAACATAGGACATTATACAACTTTTCTGAATATTGTACACAATCATTATAAGTACTAGCAAATAAAATGAAAAAGAAAAAATTAACTCCAATTTACATACTAAAAGCATACCAGAAACTTTTTTAGCTAATTATCATTTAATTATCATTATTAAGATACATTGTATATGTTTTGTATACCTATTTTCTATAAAATTATTCTTTCTTGCAAATAAATGAATATTTAATAAATACTTGTTTTTTACTTTATACAGTAACATAGGATACTAATTATGAGCATAGGATACTATTATAATGTATTCAGGTTATATATCTGGAATTCTGAATTCGCTATTTCCTTAGTATTACTGATACCTTATTAACAAGAGTTTGTAATAACCAATACTTCATCATATCCATGTATTCAGCATATCAGGTATCAAGCTGTTTCTATCCTATCACAGAAATTAGAACATTTGCATGTGAGATTGCACATAAAATTTGTGTTTCCTGTTCACCGGACAAAATAAATTTAACTTTAAATACATCGAAGAGGCATTCACACCAATTATTTGTATAATTACTGAAAATGGTCATATAAATAAACATGACAAATTTTGGTAAAATCTATGAATCCTATTGCTGATACAGCAATAAATCACTCTGGCATTCAGTGTGGCTTCACAACTTTTCACTTTAACTCCGTAACTTTCAAACATGTAATGGCTTCTCTTTAAAATACCAGTAAAGTTAGCTCAAATTTGGAGAACATTAACATAGAGTTTACATGTTTGAATTAGCATTGTAATCAGCATGGATTTCACATGTTTGAATCCATGGCTCATAGTCCTTCTTCAATGGTTGATTGGTACTTACAAATACATCAGTCATTTTTATTCTCCACAACTGAGTCAAATAATTCATGTGGATAAGTTGGCCATTACTTGTAGATAAAAAGGCCAGCACCTGAACACAAATTATCAGGATATTGCCAACCAGTAACTGACCAATGTGTTTTCACTAACATATATTATTTTGAAAGCTGTTTTGTAAAGGTATTTTGGTATAAAATTCAGTCAGTAAAGATTATTTCTAAACCATAGTCAACATTGTCTACTGAATTTGTGTAATCCATTTACCTTGCTTTGAATTTGCAACAGTCCATTTAAACATTAAGGGATTTCAATATCAAAATATAAAAATTGAACAAGCCTGGTCAGACAGCACCGCAGGGAAGGCTGGTCAGACTCATGTATCATGTATGCAACAGAAAATCACTTTGGGTTCTAGCAAGTTACAAATCAGATTTCATCCTTAATCATTACTAAGCCAGCACTTACAAATCTTCAGAACATCAATTTTCAATAAACCCTTTACAATAATGACATGAAAATCAACACAATTTCTTAGCCATAATGTTTCACTGTACACATTTTTTCCTTTAGCTCTGAGAAAAAGTTTACAATAACACATGCCTTGCGTTCCTTTTCTTTACACTGATTACCTCCAACACGAGAAATGACTATAAATTTATATACAATATCTTTTTTATCTCTCACAAAATATATTCCAGCAAGTATCCGCACCACTCACAATCAAAACATTTTGTCTTCAGTGTTTGCGTATTCTACGAGATATTCTGGGTAAGCTTGGCTGCTATCAAATACCACAAATATCTTAGGGTCATCAACATTGTCAACACACGAATCGTAACATTTTCCAAACTGATCGCTGTTGTGATACAGAGGTGGGGGTTTCCTCAGTTTTGCATTACCCGTTGTATACTGACCGACTAAAACACGGGCGAGGAACATTCTGGCTGTTGGCCTTTCAATTTCCTCTTGTTCAAAAGCAGATCCCATTCCCGATGACCCTAAACCTTGAATTATTACATTTGCAAAAGACTTAGGTATCTTTCGAGAATAAATTGGAAATTGTTTTCTTCTGGCGGTCATAAGTTTTCTTTTCAATGAAATATCATTTGATGGCTTGGATGGTAAATTTAGAATATTTTGCATGTTATGAGATGAGTTGACGGTGACACCAGATCCACTTGGACTTGGCTGAGCTGAATTTGTCAAACTTCCATTATTACTGGAGACAAACTGACTGGTGTTGTTATTCATGAAAAAATTTGGTTGAGTTTGTGAACCAGTCTGTGACAATGACCTCACAACTGACTGACTTCCTGTCCCTGTTGCATTATGGGAAAGATTCATCGGTCTATACTGACTGGTCTGTATCACTGAAATACCTGAAGGGTTGCCTATTGGATGCAGTGGCTGACCGAAGTTAATGTTTACTGGAGGAAATAACAAAGGTGGCGCTGTTGGCAACGTCATAGATGAAGGTTGAGAGAAGGTCATTGATGACGCCAGTGAGCCATGACGTCGTCTCAGATCTGTATACTGATGAGAATAAGAGGCGTTCCAAGCAAAGTATGAACCTGAAATGATATTATAAACCTCGGTAAAAATATTTCTTTAAAATATTTGGAAATCTCTGCTATAAAAATATTTTCAAAACTTTGATATTCATTTTGACAAGACAGCATGTCTGGCATCACACTGAGTATTAACATTTCATCAGTGTGAAAGAGCAAACATGTTAAAAAATTTTATACAGGAGTGTAATATAGTAAAAGATATCTTAACAAACAGAAAATTTTATTGCAACTGCAAACAATGTTATGATCAAATATTACTAAATCATAGTATCTCTCTGTATAACAGCAATATAATCATTATCTTGAAATCACTTTCTTATAATTATATATAATAACCAAAATACAGTACAACCTGGGTACAGCAACACCTTTTGGGAGACAATCATTTTGTTTGCTGCCTAGAGGTGTTGCTTAAGTTTCAGTTTATTTCTAGTAACATAGGCCTCAGGCCCAAAATACAAAGTACAACAATACAATCAAACAGTAGAGTGATAAATTGCAAATACATTTGTCACTAGATGTAATGAATTGAATTTGTAAATAATTATACTGTATTTAGCTCTTCCTTTCTTACATTCATTGCATAATATATATATTACTTTTGTTGCTGTAAAGATGTGAAGAAAACTGATTCTATTTTTCTTCAGAGGTTATTGTTCAACAGATTATCCAGGCATTGAAAATTATTTTCAGACTCACTCGTCCTGCAAGACAAGAAACTTCTTAATCCAACGTGCAGTAACATTTTTCTACTCGTCCTGCATTGAGTTCGCTTAAATTCTACACGTAATTACTACCGAACAAGAGGAATTTTCGATCTCTGTGGTCATTTTGAAGAGGTTACACTGTAGTTACATAAATTGCTTGAATATCTGAATGATGTTTTTTTTTTCATTACATAAAAAATGATTTTCTCATTCCATCATTTACAAGTTCTTTTAAGTACACAATGAATTGACATAATAAAATTGAGCCGCCCCATGACAAAACCAACATAATGCGTTTGCGACCAGCATGGACCCAGACCAGTTTGCGCATCTGAGCAGTCTGATCAAGATCCATGCTGTTCTCTTACAAATCCTATTACAAGTAGAGAAACTGAAAGCGAACAGCATGGATCCTAATCAGACTGCGCAAATGTGCAGGCTGGTCTGGATCCATGCTGGTCGCAAATGCACTATGTTGGTTTTATCATGGTGTGGCTCAAATAGACAATACCTTGTCCATACAAAGTTCCGTGTTTACCACAGAGTCGCCAGTCGAAACCCTTCCTACAGATAGCCTCGACAGCCGACAATGATGTGCCATGAAACAGACTACGTTCAGCGACACTCGAGAAACCACCAGCATCTTGAATCATTTCAGACATCTTTCTGTAATAGATAATCATAATTATTATACTTAAATTATCTAATTACTTTATTTCTCCCATGCATTGTTTTGTTGTTTTTTGTGTGTTTTTTCAAATTACGATTCATGATATACATGTATATAAATTGGTGCAGTTTAAAGTAACACCAAAAACTTTATGCATACTTTGAGCATTAGAAAACACAATACTAAACTATAGATTATAACTAATTATAAATAAATACAATTATCTCTGGCTAAAAGTAAAATAATACAAAATATGGCGACTTTTCCACTTTACTGTCTGATATAGACCCAATCAGCCAATTCATCAATTATTTCAGGCATTAACAAATGCTAGCCTATGGGAGACCTAGACAACTGGTTAGTCAAGCCTTGCTTAAAGAACATACAAAAATTAATCTTTAAATGGACGCCTATTTTTCCCTTTTTAAATTGGAAGTGGGGTTAGGAATTGATATGTTGTCACCTTAGTGCAGTATCGAGTTAACTCATTACACAATTATAAATGAGGTAATCTGTTACTGCGTTAAGGTGACAACATGAAATCACCTAATGATAAACATTTAAATGCACAATTCAAATAAGACGACAAGTATGTGAAATCATGGACTTTAGGTAATTTAACGATAAATCATAAATTAAAATATAAACTAATTTGCATATCACCATGCAACATATTGAATCGAAAGCCTGTGCCTTTATCAATCACAATAAAATTACACATTTTACCTTATGGCTGATGAACTTTTAAATCAAGATGTTACTAGTTTGTTTTTTTGTTTACGTTTTATGTATAAAATCATGTCCCTGGCAATCGGTACACAACAAATAATATAATTTTCTGCATTGTTTTTCTTATAAACAAAATATACAATGTACATGTAATAATGTATCATAACAAAGCTACATAGAGACAGGGCAAAAATTAAAAGTAGAGATGATTCTTTCAATCTGTTTTAAATATAGGTACATATATCAGATTGAGTGATCATGTGATATTTGTTTACAGTAAAATTAAGTAACCACTATTGCTTTTTGCTAATTTTTCGTTTTATCTTTCAATACTTGAATGATAAACATACAAACATGTACCAGGCAAATATTTTCCCTGCAATCTTTTCTAGTCCGCCCTTTATCACCTAAAATACTTTAGGGTAAGGTTACAATTTTAAGGTGTCAGTATAATATTATTGAAATAATCTCTTTTATCCAAAGCTGAATTTGCTTTAAATTGGGGACAGTCAATTATTATTTAAAGGGTTTTCAGAATCAAAAACCTAAAATCTGAACAGCAAGTGTTACAGAATTTTATCAGGCTGCATGGATGTGCAGATGTGGCATGGCTTTATATTGTTACACAGTCTGAACATATTTCATTTTGTTGTCTTCTTTATTCTAATAAATAGATTATAGATATTAAAATCACTAAATCTTACAAATAAACAGCTTCAAATCAAAGTACAACTAATTCATTGCAAAAAAAATTTTAACATGGTAAATGTAAACTTATTCAAAATATAGAAATGTAGTACAAAAATTTCATATACAAGTCTCTATACATAATCTATTACAACTCACACTGTGTAATATTTCCACTGTATGGGATTCTGAACTCTGTGTACAGCAGTTATTTCCACATTTTGATCGACCATGGAGTAAAAGAAACGTTTTTGAACATTTTGGTACTCCTCAGATTCTGTTTCCAAGGGAACTAAGACATACCCCTAAAATTGAAAGCAAGAACATATATTAAATAGCAACGTTGTACATCATTAGTCATTTCAATGCACAAACTTTTAATTATAATTTTCTGCAACATAATAATTATATTTCTCTGGTCCTTTGAAAAACTTATTCTATTAAGAATTGAATATAGCTTAACCCATAACACGATCTTCAGTGGACTTGTCTATCTTTCAATACGGACAAAATCAGTAATCATTTTAGGGGAAAATTTCAAAATATATACTGCATCTGACTGAATAGTGACCGGAGTGAAGACCAAGATCTTGGTCTGCACTTGTCATATGGTTAAGTTGATGTTTTAAAGGCCTGGGAATAAGCACATTTCATTATCTGTTATGAACAGACTCAATCATGCTGAGTCTTTAATGGTTCACGAATCAACATTGGCCAACAATGTTATCTCCACAAACTAGAATCTTTGTACATCACTGCAAAATTAACCTTTGTGATTAAAGATGTATTTATTTAATCATTTCCCTAACTAAAGGCCCATAGTCATAAACATGTACAATAAATAATTGGTCAAAAACTGAGGCAAACAATCTGGTGTGGAAATCATTTTTCAATCATACTTAAGGACTGAAATTTTGCAATACTTTTGCTTTTTTACATCTAAACTTCATATTAATGAAGCAATTATATTTTATTAAGATCTAGTTACATGAAGTCTGTATTGTAAGTATCAAATACATGATGAGCCGCGTCATGACAAAACCAACATAATGGGTTTGCGACCAGCATGGATCCTGACCAGCCTGCGCATCCGCGCAGTCTGATCAGGATCCATGCTGTTCACTATCAGTTTCTCATCTTGTTACATGGTTGGTAAGCGAACAGCATGGATCCTGATCAGACTGCGCGGCTGCGCAGGCTGGTCTGGATCCATGCTGGTCGCAAACCCATTATGTTGGTTTTGTCATGGCACGGCTCAGTCATGTATACAGACTACAGTCATTTTAGTACTTCTCAGTTCAAGTCCTAACAGATCACTCAATTCATATGGACTACTAGAGGGAAAATATGACATTTTTGAAAGTGATTTACATTATACAGTTGGTGTAAAGTGATAAGAAAATACTTTAAATGATTTATATTGGGTCTGATTACACAAAACTGCAATCAGCACTTGACTCTTTATTTACAAGTAATAATGTTTAACCACAGTAACAGATATAGAAACAAAATGCAAGTAATAAACTGGTTCCCCTCTCATACTTACATCCCTTTTAACATCCCTCTCATCCATGGGGTCCCAATTGCTCGGGCAATCCTCATACTTCTTCATATATCTCATCTCGTTATTGCCGTCTGCTTGATCTAGGTCAGTAGACGCACTGTCCTGATCAATCTCCTCCAATGCATCTTTCATGATCATGTTGGAGATGTAATCTACATAATCCTGATCTAGTTTATCTTCTAGAATTTCCACAACCATGGCAGGTAATGAATGTCTCAATTCACCTGGAAAAAAAATGTATGCAATTTTATAGTTATTTCCAAAAGAGAACATCAAAAAATATAGTGTATCTACGTGTTCATATTATTAGAGGGCAAACATATATAGTAAATACCTGGTCAAAATCTGGGGAACAAACACATAAAAACAGTGTTTACTTAAATGTAGCAAACACATGGTAACAGTGTTTACTGGTGTAACATTTTTTTTCACTGCCGTAATGAAAACTCCTTTTCAAAGGCTTTTTTGTTGATGTTACATCATTTCTATTGAAACACTAGGTTACACTTTTTTTATGTGTGAAACATAGGGACAATCTGAATCAATTAAATGACAGATCACTGTTGCAAAAAGCTGGCAATTTATTTATACGGTTGAACAGTGTTTAAAATGCATTCTCGTCACTCTGAGATTATCTGCAGAATATGTGTACTGTATTGAACTGTTAAAATAAAACTTCCTTTATTCATTCATTCATTTATTTTGTAGTCATCATGGCATTAAAGGGCATTATATTGACTTATCAGCTTTGGTTATGAAAAGTCCTCAGGTGCATTTATAGGCATTATATTTAAGGCCCAAATGGGTTTTAGAAGAACCAATGACTTTTCTCAATCTAGTATACTTAAGTCAGGCAATATAAGTGTCTTATGTCAAACTACCAGTACATAGAAGTCGAAACCTAACAGCTGTGTCACAAATTTGAATTTTGAACAATCCATTGTTTAAGCTTCAGTTATAAATTGTTATGGTATGATCTTTACTAAGACTGAGTGTCTATTAGTATAAAATCTGCCTTAAGAGTGCATGTACATAATTTATTATGTACATGCATGTGCCCCAGCTGGTCACTGGCATAATCATTGCTATAGAGTTGATAGGTTCATATACTACATTTGTAGGAAAACTTCATCAAGAATTGTAATTAAAGATAAGAAACACATGTTACATGTTTTAACCAGATTTTTTTATTCATTTAAAGGCATGTGATTTTCATATCATTACAAAATATTTTGTCATTGATAGTCTAGACATGGTAAGAAAATGAAGTGTTTTTGGTGATTTTTTTTTGCGGGGGCAGTGGGGGAGAGGGGTTAAGTTGCACCAACACATCAATGTATGTCATATGGCAACTTTCCAGCTTTACTGGTGGAGGAAGACCTCTGTGGTGCCTTCTGTACATTATTTCAGGCACGAACGGGCAACTAGAAGAACCACCAATTTTCTGTAAGTTTGATGGTTAGCTCCTCACATGAAAGAATCCAAAGTCCCTCTCCAGGGATTGATTCGTACCTACAGCAGAGAGGGGCAGTGGTTTAAAGTTGACCCATATAAGTTGCTGAACTGCCTCTTGTTCACTATATGTCATCTTAATTAACCACATACTTATGGACAAACATTTCAAAATCAATCCATGAATAACCAAGTTATGCAATAAAGCATGGCTGTCTGTTTATAATTATTATCAATTTTTGTTCAACATGTCTTGACGTGCAACACATTAATGCAGTTATTTTAAAACCCTCCAAAAATGACATGATTGTTGATTGTGCATGAACAACAATGCCCTTAAATGAAAAATTTTCTTTAAAATGAAATGTGATCCTGACCATTAAGCTACAAACTAAGACACTTTACCTTAATGTGACAAGCACTTTTGCATAATTATTTTATAACCCATCCATAAATGACAGCCATGGACCCGACATGACCATCTAGTCACAATCGTACTATGACTGGATGTAAGTGTGACCTTGACCTTGAAGCTGTTGATCTGAATCTTGGGCACATTACACTGTCATCATATATAATGCATTTATTCCAATTTTTTATTTTAAAGTCAATACAGGAATGAAGGACACAACCAGGGTCTTTCACACCAATATTTCATGATCATGTATGACACATTCCTGCATAGTAATTTCATGATCAATCCAGGAGTGCCAGTATTGTTGACCAGGCACAACCATCAATGCACTGTTATGAATTTCAAATCTTGACCTTTGACCTACAAACCTGAGAATAGCATGTCACAAATCGTCTGAATGTTGCTCACATATATCACAAATTATTCAAAATTATATCAAAATCTTACATGAAAAAAACAAAGTTATGGACCATAAAGTTGACAGAAGAGCAGACAGTTTGCCATATTTTGTGCCATGAAAATTTTCAGATATAATTTTTTGGCAAGACTGACTGTATTCTTGGTTGTTGTTTTCTTTCCCCATAAAATCTGCATTTCTATATTTTTGTCTAAATTTAACTCATTTGATTGTGTTTCTACATAAAGCTAAATGTGTGTTTAGGCTATTAAGATGGCAGTGTAACAAAAAGCAACTTCAATACACCATGTTATAGTTCATTGAGATATGATGCCCCTCCAAGTCACTAACACTGACAACATACTGGTGGGTGTCCTTGACCTATCCACTGTATAGGCAAGGAAATTTCTTATATCATTTTTATAATTATCTTCTACATTGTATCTTTGGAATAATCTTGCCAAAGATTAAACCAATGACCTACAGTAGTAAAGTCATGCATAAATAGCATTATATAACTTTATGTAAATCAATTCATTTTATACACAGAGTATGAGACTATAAATTATTTAAACAAACTGTTTAACTTTAATCTTGCATATCAGACTGGTGTTTTTGTTTAATTTACACATGAAGCTGGCATTTATGTTGCCAGATGAGTCACAAAGGTGCTAAAATGACTCCATTTAGGTGCATATTATGAAAGAACTGAACTGTGTGCTTAAGGATGACATCATCATCATGAATGAAGTTGTAAATTGATACATAACTATAAGAAAATAATGCATATGTTTCCAGTTCAGATTGGAATATCGGCTAATCTTGTTACTGCCCCATGAACAGGTACCCTCGAAACCAATATTCTAAATCAGAACCACAACACATGACAGATATATTATCAGTGTTGACAGTATTATTTCATATGACTTAAGCTTCCTAGTTTTCACTGATTAGAAAATCAAATCCGGATGTAGAAGTTTAAAACCAGTAAGATCTATTATGTTATGTTCCTGTTTTCCAAGTTTTTCTTGGAATATTTGCATCAAATGCTCATTGTTCAAACAAAACATAATCATAACTGTAGCATATTATTAAAGCATGTATTTGGTTAATAGCCAGATATACATGTCAGAATGTAATTATATGTTTTCAATGAGTTTTCAACAAGTTCAACTCAAAAGATATTGAATAGACATTTTAAGCTAATCTTAAGGTAATAGGGGTTTTCCCATATAAAGTCAGACATTCCTGTGGTTAACTGTGTGCCCGTATTCACTCTTAAATAATCTTGATATAATCTAAACACACTATAATATTATACATGAACACAGCCTTTTTTTGAACTTCATTCAATAAATGTCTTATTATTTTCCTTGGCAGAGTGTGTTTCTTCCTTATCATTGAGTCAAAAATAAATATAAAATTGAACACAACTTAATATCATGAAAAACAATAATTTAGCAATATCTAAGGAAGTTAATTCTTGCATTAACTTTAAAAAGCTGAAGATTGTTTTAACAGCACAGTACTCTTACACCTGATGAACTGTTTATTATCAATTTTGGGGATGCTCTTCCTACTGTACAAAGGTGGCCAACATGTGGTTAAGGAGATAATGTTTAAAAACAAGAACGTGTTTGTTAAACACAAATGCCCCTGTCAGTAACAATGTTTAAAATAAAGGCTGTATGGGCAAAAGTGTAAAAAATCTATTTTTAGCACTGGTGACCTTGACCCAACTGACCCCAAACTCCATCCAAAGGAAGAATATCATGCAACTTATTTTCCTACCAAATATTGAAATAAATCTGTCAATATATAAAGGCTGTATGGGCAAAAGTGTAAAAATCTATTTTTAGCACTGTTGACCTTGACCCAACTGACCCCTTACTCCATCCAAAGGAAGAATACCATGTAAGTTATCTTCCTACCAATTATAATACAAATCTGTCAATAATTAAAGGCTGTATGAGCAAAAGTGTAAAAATCTATTTTTAGCACTGGTGACCTTGACCCAACTGACCCCTACCTCCATCCAAATGAGAATACCTCAATTTTATGTTCCTACAAAATATACAAGACATCTGTCGATAGAATTAGGTTAATACACATGTAAAAGTGTAAAAAATCTATTTTTGACATAGGTGACCTTGACCCAAATGACCCCTTACTAAAGGAAAAGGAAGAGGACCTCCCTTGGTATGACTATTATAAACATGAAAGACATTAACTTAAAAATAAAGACTGTATGAGCAGAAATGTTTAGATTTTTTTTTTTTACACAAGTGACCTTGACCTTGACCTAGAGACGCCTAACGCCACAAAAAATTAGAGGACCGTTACAAAAAATTAGAGGACCGTTAAAGGTATCCACCTACCAAATATGAAAGATATCATTAAATAAATTAAGTAATTAGGTGAAATGTTTTGATAAATCCAACTTGGCGGAATAGGCCCTATTTTCAAAGTGATAAAAAGGGAAATTACTGGGAAAATGGATGGCACATTTATATAACTTGGCAATATCATGTACATTGTATTGATAAGTAAGTGTGAAAATTATTAAGCCATTAGTTCAGATAGAACATAAGATATTTCCCACTTGCCGGTTTAGGTTAACCATTATTCATTTCCTAAGTGCTGAAAAGGGCCATAACTTGGTGCAAATGGAAGCCATAGTTATGTAACTTGCCCAGATCATATACTTTGTATGGATTAGTAAGTGTGTAAATTATGAAGCAATTGGTACAGGTAGAACTTAAGAAAAATCCAACATGCCGTTCTAGGTTAACCTCGTACGGACAGACGGACGGACGGTTCAATTACTATATGCCTGGGGGCATAAAAAGTGGATGAAATACCAAGGAAAAAAGGGGCTCAGAAATTAATATTAAAAGGGTCAGAAATGAATAATTGTTTCATTCTGTTGGAAAGGCTAACATCACATGTGTTTTATATTGTTAAAAAAATGGACTTAGAACATGTCAAATGCTTAGCCCCTAAGAAAAGTAGCACTGAATTTAGAATAATTTGTTAAAAAGTACTATTAATATGTAAACATACTTTTGTTTTGACTTCCATACAACACACTTTAACACTACAACAGCACTAATACCCATAGAGTAAAAGAAGCAAAAGATGACACCGCTATATGACCGACCAATGAGTAAATATTTTGAAAATATAACAAGATACCAAAACTATAATGCTTTTGAGAAATAGCATTTTTGAGGCTTAATTGGCTTTTAAAAACATCACAATTTTCTTTCTCAACAGGCAACATTTTGTCTTGCTGGTGCCACACCACAGATCAATATTTGTAAGATCACTATAAATGATAATGTTTTATGATTGTAGATCTAACACTACTGTCACCCAAACATGATTCTAATTCAATTCTCCTTTGGCTGAAAAACAATTACTTTAACCATCCTCTGTGGCCAGAAATCTAAGAACCTTGACTTTATAACTACTTGATCTTTATTGCTTTGATTCTTTCATGTAAGAAAGGGAGGTAATAACTAGTAATTAGCTCCCTTGCTGAAGGTAAATTATCTTACACATGTGCCCATTTGTAAACAAATAGTGGCATGAGACAGCTGGAAAGTCTGGCCTCATATGACCATAACAATTTCAGTGTTACTTCAAGGAAAACGAAACATTTTTCTTCAATTACATTATAAGTTTTTTTTCAAACATTAACAACAATTATCTAATCATTTCATCACCAACTGGCTTCATTCATTTTTAAATTTTTCAATATTTCCCGGGATATTTTTTTTTGATATTTTTTTTTCTATTTTCCATTTTTTAATAATGCATACATTTATGCCCAAAAATACACAAAAAGGACTTTTTAACATAAGATTTCATGTGACATGATTAAGCATTATAACATTTATAATATTTTTTTTACCATTTATAGAAAAACCCAAAGGGGTTTTTGGGGAAATATGCATATTTTGGCTTTTAAAATATTTTTCCTTAAAATATAAGAAGTAAGAAATTAAAAAAATTCTTGAAATCCCCCAAAACCGGTGGTTGGATTTATCTTGGGGAAATACATTTTTTTTTTCTTACCCCTTTTATTTATAAATAATTTTTCCCCCCCAAATTTTGGGGAAATATTTTTTATATTTTTACATGATTTTAAACTTTTTTTCTTTAAATATATTAATATATTATAAAGAAAAAAAACTTTTTTTCAATTGAGACCTCCCCCACACAGGCTCTTATAGACTGGATATAAAGAAAATTATGAATATCAGTGTAAAGTAACTATTATAATTTTATCTTAACATATCTCCAGGCCCCGTGTTCACTAAGAAAATATCAGGATCAGGATCAAGTGATCCTGATTTTATTTTCATTGTTTAATGTTACTAAAATTATTTGTGTATTGTTGAATTAAATTGTAAATATTCAAAATTTAAAAATATGCTGATTTGCAAAGAAAACAAACTATTTTGGGATAAAATCAAGAAATAACAAAACAAATACAAAAATATTTGGATCAAAATGAGGATCAATTTTAGGATCAGGATCAATATTTGGATCAACTGTAAAATGCCCATACCTTGCAAAATTAACAATTAATTTATTCTAAAATTTCATATACTTGCTATTTCAAGTCAAGTTTTATCAAATTTATAATCAGATATTTATCTATGAGGATAAACAATGAAGAATATCAGGGTTTTTAAATTTGATCCTGATCTTGATCCTGATCCTTAAATCTTTGTGAACACGGGGCCAGTGTATCACCTGACATGCTTCAAAATTAGAAATTAATTGATATTTTAAACACTTGCATTCTTTATGTTTTCATTTTTTTGTCTCTTGTCACAATATGGTACATTAAATAACCAAATAATACATAGAGAACAACAAGATACAGTGGTGCAGATAGTGTCTCAATTAAACCTGTGTCTACCACAAGATACATTAGGCAATGTTTACTTTATCAATACAGGATTTGTGTGTGGGGAACCTGGCGTGAAATAATTGTTCTCAGTCATGGCAATGACAGAAACAATAAGCCTAAAATCATTAGTACAGCAGTATAAAATAAATCACATGTAAATCATTTATCTTTGGTTGCTGCTTATTACATGTGTTTGGTAGGTTAACATAATTATATACATGGGCAGAAACTAAATGACACTGACAGAATGTTAAGGTTATATAAAGATACCTTTGCAGCTTTATATTAATGAAAAAACAAGAAATGTGTCATGGATACCCCTATATTCCACTGTTGTCAAAGTTTACGGATGAACATTGTGACAGCAGTGTGACAGCAGTGTGACAGCAGGGCATATATGCATTGACAAAATCTGTATATCCCCTTGAATCCCTATCAACTCAATTTGTTTTGTTTGTTTGCTTTTTACGTTACACCGACACAATAATTAGGTCTTAAGGCGACATTCAAGCTTTACTGGATGAGGAAGACCTCAGGTGCCCCTCCATGCATTATTTCATACATGAATCGGCACCTGAGTAGAACCATTGGCCTTCAGTAAGCTAGCTGGATAACTTAATACTCACATGAAAGAATCCAAACTCCCTGTTGGCTTTTGAACCCACAGGGGTGAGGGGCATGTGGTTTGAAGTCAACAACCTTAAATACTTGGCCACAGATGCCCCATCAACTAAGTTGGGGCATAAACTCTGACCTATGCAAGTGGGCACCATTTGCTTAAATTAGATAAAGACATACAATAATGTAAAAAATACTACTTACTGATTGGATAATAGCTATCACATGACTTGCTTAAACACTTCACAGATTCCTGGAAATAAAAAAGAAAAAAACAACTGATAAATCGAAAAATGTCTGTTATTGTTTATATTTTCTAAATGCAAGAACAAAAAAATACAATGTGCAAAGACAAAAGTAGACATACAGTATGTTTGCACCCATCAAAAAGCCAGGCCAGCCTGCAAATTCTTGCTGTCTGTCTTACACTGTATTAAGAAAAACAGCTCAATCCCTACTATTCAAATCACAAATAATGGATAGTCTCCAACTTTAGATTAAGGCAAGTTTTGACTTCAGTAACCCTAAGAAATGCACAAGCAGAAACGTCGGATGTTAGAATATGTCGGAAAAACCTAAAAACCAAATATTTATCAGTTTTCTATCATGCAGTTATACCATGTAATAGAAAGAGGGCATTTAGAAGTACTAAAATCCTGAAGTTCTGAAATAGTGACTAGTCCTATGTGAAACTCACTCATGGAAATATGATAATCATTGGCATAATGTATCCATTGATTGAAAAACTCTCTTTACAGTCCAAAAAACAGCAAATTTTCTCTAAAATGCAAAAGGTTATTAAGTGAATATTTTCTGTCTTTGATACTGAAACCATAGAAGATTTAAGTTTTCTTTATTTGAGCTGTGTCATGACAAAACCAACGTAATGCGTTTGCGACCAGCATGGATCCAGACCAGCCTGCGCATCCGCGCAGTCTGATCAGGATCCATGCTGTTCGCTTACAAACCCTATAACAAGTAGAGAAACTGATAGCGAACAGCATGGGTCGCAAACCCATTATGTTGGTTTTGTCGTGACACGGCTCAAATTTTCATTCAGACATGAATGGTTTTCTACTTCACAGTCCTTATCCACCACTTCAGTTTCATAAAAACCCATTGACAAAACAATTTGTTTGTGTGAGCATGATGATACAATGTTTAATTGTTATTTTCAAAGAAATCTTTTAAAGTAAAATACAAATGGGAGAAATGTAATCCTTTCAAACCACTTTATATCAACCTGATACCAGTTACATTTGTAGAACAAGAAGTAATTAGCATTAAGTGTGAGCAGTATAGTTAGGCCAGCCTGCCTGCAGATCATTACAGTCTAACCTGGCTATAAGATCATACATGTACTGTTGGTACCCGTTCACTCAAATTTAGTTAGGTTAAAGGTTAAGCTAAAATCAGGCCTGACCCTGTTATAACCCGGCCAGACCCTGTTAACCAGCAAATCCTACCAGCAAAATCTGGCAAGACCCTGTCCACCAGCAAAATCTGACCAGCAAAATCCGGCCAGAACCTGTCTACTAGCAAAATCCGGCCACTGACCCTGTTCACCAGCAAAATCCAGCCAGACCCTGTTCACCAGAAAAATCCGGCCTGATCCTATCCACCAGCAAAATCTAGCCAGACCCTGTCCAATAGCAAAATCAGACCAGACACTGTCCACAAGCAAAATCCGGCCAGACCCTGTCCACCAGCAAAATCCAGCCTGTCACCTTGTCCACCAGCAAAATCTGGCCAGACCCTGCCCACCAGCAAAAACTAGCCAGAACCTGTAATTCAGCAAATCTGGCCAGACCCTGTCCACCAGCAAAATCTGGCCAGACCCTGCCCACCAGCAAAATCTAGCCAGAACCTGTAATCCAGCAAATCTGGCCAGACCCTGTCCACCAGCAAAATCCAGCCAGAACCTGTAATTCAGCAAATCTGGCCAGACCCTGCCCACCAGCAAAATCTAGCCAGAACCTGTAATCCGGCAAATCTGGCCAGACACTGTCCACAAGCAAAATCCGGCCAGACCCTGTCCACCAGCAAAATCCAGCCTGTCACCTTGTCCACCAGCAAATCTGGCCAGACCCTGTCCACCAGCAAAATTCCAGCCAGAACCTGTAATTCAGCAAATCTGGCCAGACCCTGTCCACCAGCAAAATCTAGCCAGACCCTGTCCATCAGCAAAATCCTACCAGCCACTGTTCACCAGCAAAATCCAGTCTGACCCTGTCCACCAGCAAAATCTCACCAGACCCTGCCAACCAGCAAAATCCAGCCAGACCCTGTCCACCAACAAAATCCCGACAGACACTGTCAGTCAGCAGTGAGAATGTATGCTTACATTAATGTTCTGTATATGCAAGCCATTCCTGACCAGTATCTGCCTATATACTGCTTAGATAGAACCCAATTACTGACCAACAATTTTTTTATTTTATATATTTATTTCAAATATCAGGTATTAAACTAAGAAAAGTTTTGAAGGTTTAAGGGAAACAGCACAAGTTGTTAGTTACCCATTCATGTTTTGCTAATACCTTTTCTTATCTCTCTTGTTTTAACCATCTTATCAAAGGAAATACTTAAAACTTAAGGCTACTGAGGGGACACTTGGAGTAGAAATTTACTGATAATTTTTAACAATATAGTAGTCTGGTAGCAAAAAATAATGTAATCATCATAAGTTTAAATCATTAGTTACCTCAAAGGACTTGTCATGCTATTAATGTGGAATTAACCATCTTTTGTTTTCTAGAATTCAATATCAACAAGAGTGCCATTATCACTAAATCTGCTGTCACTACTTGAAATGTTCAGTCTCATGACAGAGAACATTAACATAAAAATCTGCTAAATGGTCAATACAATGGTGAATACTGATGTCAAATTAATTATATTAAAATAACCTTTATGCATGTATAAGTTATTGCTCAAGTTTTCCCCTGACCTGCATGTGTGACCTTGAACTTTGACTTACTGATCTACTTCATGTTGCAACACTACATATAATTTGTAAACATTTATACAAGGGCCATCAGTGATAACATATGAGCCGCGTCACGACAAAACCAACATAATTGGTTTGCGACCAGCATGGATCCAGACCAGCCTGCGCAACCGCCCAGTCTATTCAGGATCCATGCTGTTCGCTTACAAACCCTATTACAAGTAGAGAAACTGATAGCAAACAGCATGGATCCTGATCAGACTGCGCGGATGCGCAGGCTGGTCTGGATCCATGCTGGTCACAAACGCATTACGTTGGTTTTGTCGTGATGCGGCCCATATGTTTCCTTATGATAGCCAATTACATGTTGCAGCTGCTGTATAGCAGTCCTGAGACACAAAAATCATTAACAGGGCAAAACATAGTTTTCATTCAAGGGACATAACTTGGCTAAAAATCATTCAACCAGAAAACTTGTGTAATATTCGCAAGTAGTTGAGTTACTGATCAATACTGTAAAATTTCAATGATATTGGGTTAATAGTGGTCTTTTACACTGGGAAACTGGCTTACAGACAACTCACCCCCCAGACAATTCACCCTCAGCCATTTTTTCCAGACAATTCACCCACCAGACAGTTCACCCCACATTATTGGAAAAATGACACAGACAATTCACCCCCCATTTCTTTAATTTTAATTTTGATGTAAATTTATCTTCAAATTAGAAGATGCAATAAACAAATTTGTTGTGTTTCTTTACATAATTAATATTTATAAAATATTTAGTCATATTTAAATTAATTATTATAATTCATTACTTAAAAATAATATTATATTTGTTACAATGCGTTAATATTTTTACATATTATTTTACATACAAACTGTAAAAATTACAAATTCACCATAAATTTGTCTTAATTTGTTTAAGTGCTATTGATGTTATTATAAGATGACATATCAAAGACATTAGCATGTGATAATCATTTGCTCTTTAATCTCTTCATTCTAACAACTCATTGGATGCTTATGACACATCATCTACAAATAAATTTTGTCACGCGCGGCCACTTTAGCATGCTTACCAAAAGAAAATTGGGAAAATTTAACAAACCTATTAAAATACTTATACATTGTACTTATATACATATTTGTATATTGTGTATATATATTTGTACAGATAAAATCATTCACATTCATCAAAAACATGTATGACCAAAAGTCTCCATATTATTAAATTTTCATAATTGGGAATTTGGTTTAACTGTTTCTCAAACAGGGAAAAATTAAAAATTTCATTGCCTATACCCAGTCTCTATACTAAGTAAAACAAAAGTCACTGGGGCATAATGAGGGAGCTAGAAGTACTCTGTATTCCTAGTAATTGAGAGATTATAGCCCAAGTATCACATTAGCAAAGAATCAATATCCTTGTTATACATCAACATAACCAATTTCAAGATAACTAAATGTTGTTGTTTTTTCCATAGCGATTTAATGAACAATTCTGACCTTCAATTACTAAAATCTTTTCAGTTTGAAAAATAAAGCAAAATATAATTATGCAAGTGAAACTGTATAGTGTTACACATGTATTTACTTTTGCACAGAAAAGTACCCAACATTACACACAATGGATACAGCCATGTCACATATCATATGTCATTCATCTTTTCATACTATAAACATTATATAACATTCTTTATTGGACCACAATGTCATATTACAAGCAAAATAACTTAGCTCTGGCATGGGACTCTAGCCCATGTTGTTTCAGACAACAGGATGAAAATATGTTTTCCTATTAAATGTCTAATTCATTCTGTGACACATAGCCAATTAGGGTGGACCAATTTTAAACCCCAGAGTCTGCGGGAATAATTGCCAATGACAGGCATCATGCGGTCACAAAGGCTCATCTATGAGCACTTTGTGCTCAGGTCAGCTAAAGATGACCTGTGTTCAACCTGCAGTTACCATAAGTTGCTCTTTGGAGACAGTTCATATATAGCTAAACGTCATTTAACTTAATTATTATATTTCATTAATTTGCCAAACAAATTTATTAAGTTTGAAAACAAAAACAAAGCATATAATAATAATAAGCAGCCTCAGTTTCATTTAATACAGGTTAGCCAGCTGATGCTAAATAAAAAAAAAAATTGACATTTGGGAGTCTTACCAGGCTCTATACTGTTAGTTGCTCAATTTTTGTATTGCTATTAATTACAAATCCCTTGACCTTAGAATACCAATTCAAAGCAAAGCAAATACATCAATTGCAGAAATTCAGCAGGATAATAAAGATGAAAATCATATATAGTACCTACCTTTGCTCTCCCAGTAAGAACTAGTTTTACTCTCTCCTCCAAACACTTTGTACAAGAAGAATGGCCATTGGGACATCTAGAAGACTTTTGCCCCACCAAACTCACTTCACAATTTGTGCACTTTGATTCTCTTGCTGCATCACTGTAACACCTTTTTTGTTTTTTAGGCGGAAGATGGTGAGAGTTTGGTGGCGACGGGCTACGCGGGGACTGTGTTATCACTTCATGACCCGAACACTTGCTGCTTGAACCGCTCCGAAAAGCTCCAAATGAATTGTAGGATACAGAACGTTGATATGATTTAGTGTTTTGAGAAAGTGGTAATGTTAGTGAGTTGTAATATGGTGGATTGGTATCAGTCATTGATAAAGATCGTTTAAATATATTAGATGTCGAGGAATCGTTACTATTTATAGTAACCACTTGTTGACATACAGGCTGCTGCTGGATGCACTGAACTGAACCACCCAACAATCCACTTGTAAAGTTTGTGGACTGTCCTGTCAGTATCACACTTCCTGTTTGACAGGTAGACTGTGTATCAGTCTTTTGTTGTGTCAGACTGGTTGTTTTCACAGCACCAGTCTGTGATTGAGAACCAGTGTCAAATGTCATATCTAAAGAAGCTAATAAGGCATGGCTTGCTTGAAAAGGGTCTGCTACATCAAACGAATGTTTTTGAGTGGCAGATCTTTGGTTATTTGCATCCTTATTTGAACAATTTGTGCCTGAATCAGAAGTATTGGATTTTGCTTCTAGACAAGTCTGCCCTGCAGAAACCTGTGTCGATGAAATGGTGGACTGGTTATTAGAATTATCATCCTTTGCTTGCTGACCAGTCTGATTTGATGAGACACACTGTCCTACCACAGTGCTTACTATCACAGAACTATTTCCATCCTTAGTGTTAACAATACAACCAACATCAGCAGCACTTGAATATGGATCTGTTGTGGAATTGCTGTTTGATTGCTGATTGGCTGAGGTAGCTTGTATGGAAGGTGAAAGGTTAAATGCTGACCAACCAGAATCTGTCACAGTTGAATGATTGCTATGGCTAACAGATTTATCACATAACAATGTAGGTAATCCTGTGTTACTTTGATCACTAGAACATATATCACTGTTAGACAAACAGCCAACGCTTGCCAAATTGTTTGAATCACTAACATTGCTAACAGCACCTTTAGTATCACTAATTTCATATCCAGTAGAATTTGATTTAGTGTCTAGTGTTACAGCTGTTTGTAAGGTCGGATCAGGTCCAGTCAGTAACATCATAAATGATGAATCTGACCCGGACCTTTGAAGAGAATTCTGACCACTGTCAACATTTCCAGGGGACAAAGAAGCGGAATTTTTGTCCGAGGACTCTGATGACTTGGACGATAAGTCTAGAGGCCCTGTCATGACAGCGCTATTTTGTAATAAGTTGTCAAGAATATCCGTGTCATTGGAATCATCAAGTGACAGACCTCCAGTACATGTAGTGAGACTAATGTTACGAGACAATGCATTCCTAGTCTCTGATGTTGTAACACTGGTGTCTATAGGTTGAGGTGAAGAGTTCAGGTCCGATGGTGGCGGAGCCTTCGTCTCTGAGAGAAATATCACATCCTCGCTGTCTACTTCTATCTCCACTTTGATAAGGACAACATCATCATTATCTGACTCATCTACAAATATATATATAATATAAATGTCAATAGGAGTGTCACCAATAAACATGTGAACAAAATTTACATTTACACTTACACATTTATATTTACACTATGTTCAATATATGCTAATGAATACATTTTTGAGAGACATGTACATTTTATTGTACAATGAAAATACCAGGTTTAATGGAAGGAGATGTTGTTTAAAGAAATTGTTGACAACTCTGAATGAGGAATTACAAATGACTGACTCACTGCCATAAAATATGCTCACCTCTCTGGTTAGCTAAAGAAGATACTGATATTCTTATCAGCTATATAGAGACAAGAGCCACCGCCGGGCGGGGGCAACGCTCGACTTTTTACTTTTTCTAAACGCAAACATAGAAAGGTTTGAACATATATTGATGTTTCCTTTTTATAAATTTAGTTGGTCTGTCTTGTCACATTAGTTTTGTTTATATATTTTGTATATATATGAATAGA